CAGCCTTGTGTTAATCATTGATTCAAGTTTGACTTCAACCTCTCAAAAAGCAGAAATGATTTCCTTCATTAAGAACAGAGGGCCTGTTTTAGTTTGAATCTCTATCAGATGCTGTGGAATAATTGCTATTATCACAATCCCCTTAAAGTCAATTTCTGAAATGTTTCTGTTCTTCCAGGTTTAACTAGTGGAGTTGGTTTGTTGCCAGATGGTCCTCTAAATGGAGCTGTTGGAGGGACAGTGATGTTTACCACAGTGAATCCACCAGAGAGTCCATTTGCAACACTAACTGGAAGTTTGGGGACAAAAATATAATCGTTTCAAATATTCAAAACTACACTTCTCCTGGATATGAGGGAAGAATCACCTTCTTCCCCTCTACTGGATCTCTGGAGCTCAGGAGTCTGTCTCTCAATGACAGTGGAGAATACATAGTCAGGGTTACGACTGGGAGTGAGTTTGAAGGCAGAACCACACTGAGAGTTTATGGTAAGACAATGTTTCACTTGATACATCTGTTAGAGTGCTGAATGGAGATTATGCACAGCAATTAATGCAAAAAAATAAACAGGTGTGTTTAGGTGTTCAGTGTCATATAAAATGTGTGACAGATAGTCTATTGAATATAAAGCATCCATCTGAAACAGTCAAGTATGTTTCTACAGAAGTGTTTTAATTCACGAGATAATTCAATTTCTTGTTTTCCTGAATTAACAAATAATTGTCTCAGAATTATGAAAACACAGATCAAAATCAACTTTGTCATGAAAGCTATCTTGTAATTTGGAGATATAATCTCATGAATTCAGGGAAACAGAGCAGATTGTATCTTCTTATGTAAATGCAATACACTTCCTTAAGTACGATTTAGTATGTTTCAATGTGATTAATGTATATATTTTTTTTACATAATATATGACAAAAATAGTAAACACATGTAGAATTAAAGTCCATTGTGGTGCAGGGCTCGATGTTACATCAGCACCTTTATTACTACCATCAAGTTTTTGGAAGATTTAATTTAAAATCTGAGATGTATTGTTTTTGTTTCATAACTTTGTTTGCTATTATTTTAAAACTAGAAACGTCAATCATATCTGATCAACCACACCTACAAAGTCCTCCTATGATCTATATATCTTAGGCCTTGTGTTTTAAAGCCTTTCAGTCTAACTGTTGCACTTTGGATAATTTATGATCAATGTTATGTTTATGTTTTCAGTTCCTGTTTAAGAAATATAATATACACATTTACTTAACTCTTACAAATGAATAAATGTCACACATGAATACATAAACATGAATGAACAATAAGAGAAGAGAAATAGGTCATACAAAATCAAAACATAATAGGTCAAAAAATTACAAATAAAACAAAAACAGGAGTTATATACAAGAAGAATATAAATAGTGAAATGAACTATACAGGACAATTTTGAAAGTATGTGAAGTGAGTGGCAAAAGTTAAATAGACAAGTGATGATTAAAAGTGACCTCTGTAAATAAAAGCTAAAAGTTCTGTAAAGAGTAAGAGCAGTATAGTATAACACAATCAGAGATTGGGTAAAAGCCTGGGGGACAGGAAGTAACATAACTTTAAATAAACAGTTCCTTTTTTCTTTAACTCGTTTTTAAGGTCAAGAATACTTCATGTGCTGAAACGGGAACTCTTAATTATGATCTATTTAACCCACCAAGTATAAATCCTTTCACAAATCTCTCTTTGTTTTGTTTGGAGTTTAGATAATAGTTTTCCAATTGTGTCTGTTTGTTCGGCTAACAATTAACAAACAGTTTACCAGTGCTGATAGTGAATAGGGAAGAGGCTCCAACACTGGTTAATCATTGCACCAAGAACCAGTCATCAGATATGATAAGGTGTAACCATTTAACATGCAGAGTGAGTCTGACAGCTGAGCTCATCCTGTCTGGTTTGTGCTCAGTGTATCCATCACACATTTTTAGTATTTACATTCATACTAATACTCATTACATCAGTAATATCATTCAGAAATGAATGGTGTGTAGTTATAGCATTACCTAACTAGTAATTTGATGTTAGTTTTCCAACATTGATAAAAATGTTGTGTTTTTAAGTCTTGTTTCCAATGCCCCCAAGCTGGCAGAGAAGTTACTACGGGTTAAAAGATTTCATTAAGACTTGAGGTGAAACCTTTTAAACAATGACATTCAATTAGATAGAAAACACATTTCATGGAAAAGCTCAAAGTCCTTGTTGATGTTGAATATTTAAATTGATTGTTAATCTATAGCTGAACCTGTGTTTTTGTTCTACATACATTTAAAAAGTGTTTGTGATCTTTTGTCCAACAGAGAGAATATCAAATCATTTCATCACACAATCACCAGAGGAGGCAATAGAGGGGAACTCTGTCAATTTAACCTGTGACGCTGCTGGCTCCGTGTTTACCAGAAAGTGGATGAAGGATGGATCTGATCTAACTCAAGCTGACATTATACTTTACGATAACAACAGAGTTCTGTCTTTTCAACATCTAAAAAAAACAGACAGAGGAGAATATTCCTGTAATATCAGCAACCCCATCAACTCAATGGAAGCTAAACACGTCTTGGTTGTGAACTGTAGGTGACAAACTACTGTACTCATTAACTGTTCAAAAATAATGAGCGTCATAATACAAATCTGCACAAACACAACTTATTTTTACCTGTTACACATTGATTAAGATTTTTTACGTCAATAAACTATAACTGTTTTTCAGACGGACCGGAAAACACTCAAATCAAAGGCCAGCATCACATATCTTTGGGAGACACCTTCACATTAACCTGTGAGGCCGAGTCTGAACCACCTGCAAACTTCACCTGGTTACTGAATGGGACAGAGATACTCAATTCTCCTGAGTACACTAAAAAGAACGCTGAAGCGTCTGACAGTGGAAACTACATCTGTCAAGCAAAAAATAACATAACTGGAAGATCATCTTCTTCAGTGCATGGAGTGACTGTAATAGGTAACAAGACGGTGTTTATTGTAGATTCTGTTGGTGTGACATGTCTTTGAGATCAATTTGACCAATTAAATGTGTCTGATCTATTTTCAGTTCATGAGGCTTTAAAGATTGATTGTTTGTGGGCTTTTGGCCTTTATTATAGGACAATGGATAGAGTAGGAAATGAGTGAGGAAGACATGAGGAAAAGCAGCCACAGGTCAGATTTAAACACGAGCTACCGGCTTGGAGGACTATAGACTCTGTATATGGAGCTCATGCACTAGGCTATCAGCGCCCCGATATATTCCTGAAGGATTCTCTGAAAATAGTCAAATTTAGAAATGCACTTCTACAGATTAAAATTGTGAGACTTACAGTTAATGAAACTGTAAGTTTCACAATGTTGCTGTTAAATATTTAAATTGATTGTTAATCTATAGCTGAACCTGTGTTTTTCTTCTTCATACATTTAAAAAGTTTCTGTGATCTTTTGTCCAACAGAGAGAATATCAAATCCTTCTATCACACAATCACCAGAGGAGGCAATAGAGGGGAACTCTGTAAACTTAACCTGTGATGCTGCTGGCTCCGTGTTTACCAGAAAGTGGATGAAGGATGGATCTGATCTAACTCAAGCTGACATTATACTTTACGATAACAACAGAGTTCTGTCTTTTCAACGTCTAAAAAAAACAGACAGAGGAGAATATTCCTGTAATATCAGCAACCCCATCAACTCCATGGAAGCTAAACACGTCTTGGTTGTGAACTGTAGGTGACAAACTACTGTACTCATTAACTGTTCAAAATAATGAGCGTCATAATACAAATCTGCCATTAAAACACAACTTATTTTTACCTGTTACACATTGATTAGGATTTTTTACGTCAATAAACTATAACTGTTTTTCAGACGGACCAGAAAACACTCAAATCAAAGGCCAGCATCTCATATCTTTGGGAGACACCTTCACATTAACCTGTGAGGCCGAGTCTGAACCACCTGCAAACTTCACCTGGTTACTGAATGGGACAGAGATACTCAATTCTCCTGAGTACACTAAAAAGAACGCTGAAGTGTCCGACAGTGGAAACTACACCTGTCAAGCAAAGAATATCATAACTGGAAGATCATCTTCTTCAGTGCATGGAGTGACTATAACAGGTAACAAGATAGTGTTTATTGTAGATTCTGTTGGTGTGACATGTCTTTGAGATCAATTTGACCAATTAAATGTGTCTGATATATTTTCAGTTCATGAGACTTTAAAGATTGTGGGCTTTTGGCCTTTATTATAGGACAATGGATGGAGTAGGAAATGAGTGAGGAAGACATGAGGAAAAGCAGCCACAGGTCAGATTTAAACACAAGCCGCCCGCTTGGAGGACTATAGACTCTGTATATGGAGCTCATGCACTAGGCTATTCTCTGAAAGTAATCAAATTTAGAAATGCACTTCTACAGATTGAAATTGTGAGAATTAAAGTTCTTAAAATAGTACGCAAATTAATGATAAGAGGTCGGGAGATTTTGTGGTTTTTATTCCAAGCATTCATTTCCCTTGTTAAAACTGAATCTGGTTCATTACCCATAGTGCATAAATAATCTGTCGGTAGAAATCAGGGGAAGTCAATGAATGCTTTGTATCTGCTGTTAGTATGGCACAGTTTCTGTTTACAGAATATGTTCTTGTCCTCCTCTTTTCTTACCTTTCCAGTACCATCAAGCTGTAGTGGTGGTTGTATCGCTGGAATAGTAATTGCATGTTTGGTGATCCCTGGAGCAGCTGCTGCTGCAGGATACTTTATCTACAAAAATAAGTAAGTTAAAAGGTCTTTGAAATGTAACTGGGAAAGCTTGTTTTTTCATCCCAGTGTGTTTGAATGTAATAGTTCATTATTACTAGTTGTTAGAAAACTATTGAAGTTTATACCAGCCAGCCTACCAGAGAGTTAGGAAGACTTATCCGCTTATGAAGCAGGCACAAAGGGCAGAAGTTTAAAAACACAGTGATGGGTTTGTGTAGTTAAAGAGCGTTGCTCAAACACTCAAAATTGAAAGTGACTGGAGGAGAGTTAAATTTTATTACAAGTGTGCAGCTCAGAAGATGTAAAAATGGAGGTGGTGTAAAGCCAAAGATTTCTGCAAAACAGAAGGGAGAGTCGGGATCTGAGAAGACACGAGCGTACTGAATATTGTCCATCAATCAATGGTGTGAATCAGAGGAGATTTAGTCTGGGGATTGAAAAATGCCATTTTCCATTAGTAAGGTTGTCAAAATGTTCTTTACTTCCATACTCCATCTGATATTAGTGTGCTACAGTCTCCATTTAACGACCGATATTATTAAAAAGTACAGAAGCTTTGAAATAACTACAGATCTTCATTCAGATTTTAAGCCAAAATGCCACAAGCAAAATAGAGCAACCTTACCTTTGGTATGTTAAAGTAACATGTTACAATGTTATAATGCACTTAGCAGACGCTTTTATCCAAAGCGACATACATCAGAGAGTAAGTACAACACTAATCCATTCATACATCGCCACTGAAGCAATGCAAGGTTAAGGATACTTTATTTATAAGAAGAAGTGAGTAAAATTACGTAACAGTTTTTTACTGGTCAGCATGTTTATGTATTTCTTGAATGGTTTGCAGTTTTGATTCTGGTGTTTGTAATTGTAATTATAATTGACAAGCTTACACCACCACACATGAACAACACCCAAAATGATATATTGTTTAAGTATGTATCTGAGTATTTGTTTTACAAAATAAACAATACTGTTTTTCCAAATATAGAGTGCAGAAAAACCTGGAGGAGCCAAGACAACAACACAATAGGCCAAGTAAGTTTTTATCTGAGATATAATGGTTATATAGAGAAAAGTACATAAGCTGTGTAGTGTAACAAAAGCACTTTCAGTTTCAGTACAACTAGAAGAACCAAAACAAGAAGAACATATTTATGAAACTGTGTATGAGAACGCTTCAAGGAAAAGTAATGCCTAAGATCAACGGTCTCTACCTTTTAAGGTAAGTTGTAAACTCACTCCAAGAGAAGAGGATAGATGTATTTCCACTGAATCAACCACTACACAGCCAGTTCAACATTCAGCTCATGGTTACTGCAACTCTAAACTTGAATCTGTCGTTTGTCCTGCAGATGATCAGAAAGAAGTCCACTTGTAAACCTTCACCACCACAAAGAGAAGAATTGTTTTACAGATTAAGTCTTCTTCTCTCCTACCTTTACTTATGTTTTATACATGTTCTTTATAAGTCAGTCACAAATGAAATTTGAATCTAACAGGACAGCGAATGTTTCTGAAACAGTTTTTGTTAGACTTCCAGCAATATGAATGTGCTTAAAGCTGCATTCATTTCCTTTTTCGGGAATTGGAGGCAGAGGAGCTCAACAACATGAAATTCAGACAGCAGCATCACATAATTTAAATGATTTAAAGCTGGCTGATTATTCACTCAGGTTTAAGAGTTTAGGCCCATGTTCATATAATGTTATATTAGCATAAAACATATTTATTTGAAAATAGCTAATCTATCTTTTTTTTTGCAGTTGTAAAAATTAAGGAATTGAACATTTCTTGTTTATTTGCCAAGAAGAAAAAAGTGGTAAATGTGTTTGCGTTTTATGTTGGTGCCTGATTATTGAGGCAGTGAAAGAACACTTGTTTTTATCTCTTGTGTACTTTCTAAGTTGAGTAAACGACTACAGTGATATTTGGTTTGATTCTCTTGTTGTATTCAAACAACAAATTGTAAACAGCTGATATATGACGCGTTGGGGAAGAAACAACCAAACAAGCTTTAAGATTCTCAAAATTGCGTTTGAAAAAAAGAATGTTTCTCTCTCATGTAAAGTTTGAAGTGTAACGTTTTTATAGCTGTTTCTTTGCACTCTGAATGTTTACTTAAACATATGACATTTCCTCACAATCAAAAGAAAGAATAAAGAAATGTTTACTGTTAAATTTACATTGGCCACATTGGATTTTGTTTGGATGTGTTTGTGTTTTTAGTATGGGTTGGTAATTTGATGTGCTTAGTAATTAAATGATTAAAAATAGTAGAAGTGCTGTTAATAAAAGCAACACTTGCATCTTGTCTTTCATAATTCAAACATTTTTTACTAAAATTATGTAGATCTGCTGTTTTCTTGACCAGTTTAAGATACAAGATTGCATTGTTCAAGAACATGTGAAAAGGGAAACATTTAAATAGTCAAATCAAATAAATCATAAAACCATAAAAGTCTTAAAATGCGTAGGAGTACAAGTTTTCTTTTTACCAGAAAACCTTTCAAAACAGAACACTGAGACTACTGACGGAGCTCTTCTATTGAAAAAGCGGAAGATAATGGATAAATGGATGAAAAAAACAGGTTTGGTTTTGAATGCAAACTGCGTCAATCTGTTGAAATGTGCTCTTCCGTGTACATTACAGTAAACTAATGTACACTGTGTCTTATTTACAGTCAAAGAATCCACTCAGAGCCCATAAATACTCCCAGAAGACTCCCTATGTAAAGAATGAGTGTTGTATCACATAAAAATCGAGTTTCTGTATTCAGCTTTATTGTGAAATTCATCCAAGTTACTTAAATTAGAGTGTCTTTTAAGAGATATATATTCCAACAGAGCTACTTAGAGAAAGACAAAGCTATCTTTAAAACAATAATCAGAGACTTTTACATAATTAGCTTTGCGATGTTTCTCAGATCAACTGACAAATCAGAAGAGAAAATGTTAAAATGTTTGGGTTATCTCATTTTTGTCATTATTTCATGCTTTGGTTGTATAACATTATGTGTGCAGCGCCTCCACTAAAACAGCATATCTGTCTGTAACACATCCCTGACTGGAGTTTCACATCCCATATTGAACATTCACCATTGGGAAATATAGAGAAGTGGCACCGATTGAATACCTCATTGTTCCAGCTAATTTGATGGTTTCCCCCAACAGTTTTTAAATAGGCATGATTGTACTGTTTAATCTTGATAGAGGTTATTTAAAAAAAAATAATAATAATAATACAATTTTAAAAAAACAATTAAGAGCCATTTAAAAAATGTCAGTGTATCTGCAGACCCTGAAGCGGTGTTTGTAAAGTGGTCTGAAGGAGTCCGATTGTCTCATGTGTCTTTGATCCTCCTCTCACAGGAATGCCTCGGCTCACTGCAGCTCCTCAAACATGACCCAGACCCAAAACCACTCACTGAAGAGCTCATAAAAAGTAATGCACGACACACACCCCCCATCACAGTGACTCACACTTTTGCTGCACTTCAATGTATAAAATAAACCCTGAAAACATATGTTGTTTTGACCACTACTCCATTTTTATATCTGATGTAGAGACTTCTATTTGAATATGAAGGCTCTGCCCGTTTAAGCATCTTCAGCTCACTTTATATGGCTGTTGTCCTGGAGGTGATGTCCTTATCTTCAGGGACCTTTATTTAATGTGTAACTAATAAATGATTCACCTTAATTTAATATTGAATTACAAAATCATTGGAAGTCCTCTTGCTCAGTAATAAGAGATGATGATCAAGCCACTACTGGTCCAAGTCAAATGAAGTAGGCAAAGATTTTGATCAAAGCAACACTATATGGGCACTAAGTATAGTTTAGCTAGTTTAAAAATAATAATTCATGTACAAGAACTTATTCATATCTCGTTACATGTATAACTAAACTGCTGATACTTGCAACTGTTTGGTCACAGCTGTATCTGATTCTTGTTTTTGTGCATCACCAATGAATCTGATCAAACTGTCGCTAATAACACGCTCTGGTGCTTTGAATATGAAGAGATGTTAATCATAATAAAAGTAGACAAAACGGTAAAATGATGTTTGATTTCATGTTTATTATGGGTTATTATGGATTTGAACTTAGAGAATAAGGGGCAAACATACTCAAAGATTTACAAATGTCATGTCAGGGGATTACTTGTAGTGATCTGATCTTTTACACTGTTCTTACATCTCTCTTTATTTATGCAGTTACAAGTTTAAAGCAAAAAATAAATAAAGTTGTTCCTTTCACTGATCTCTATTTGTCTGATCAAAGACAAAAACCACGAGTCCTTCAGAGTTCATCAGTTAGTCTTGGTGACTCGATCCTGACTGAACATACACCGAAGGGCGTCTTTGGTGTATGTACACAGTGGCATCGTAAACAGTGTGTGTGTGTGTGTGTGTGTGTGTGTGTGTGTGTGTGTGTGTGTGTGTGTGTGTGTGTGTGTTTCATGTCTGGGGGGGGTGAATTTGACCCTGTGCTGTAGGTGTGGGTCAATATAAGAGCAGTAGTGTCTCCATGTTTCTCATTTTAGAGAGAACAGAGAGTCAACGTGAATGTTTTTATTCACCATGGAGAACGAGGCGCTCAGGACTGCTGCTTGTTTGATGCTTTTCTTAGCAGGTACTTTCGATTCAAACATTCAATGAGCCGCATGATGAATTGAGTTTTGTTGTCTGATCTCCTTGGGCCATAACTGTTTGTTTCTCGGTCGTAGGTACGTGCATTGCTGAGGGTATCTTACCAGCTGGACCCCTGAGTGGTGCTGTGGCAGGCAAAGTGAAGTTCACCACCACCCTCAGACCTCCAGAGAGTCCCTTCCTCTCCGTCAGCTGGAGCTTCAAAGGGATTAACATCATCACCTCCACCAGCACCAACATCACTGAGCCCGGACACGCCAACAGGATCTCATTAGACCGAGCCACGGGCTCGCTGGAGCTCAGGAACCTGGTGTTGGAGGACAGCGGGGAGTACACAGTCACCATCATACCAGACGGAGGGCTTCAGAAACAGGGGAAGATCACACTCAGTGTGTATGGTGGGTTGAACAACTATCTAAAAAAATCACCTCTTATGATTTCTGCCTTTAAAGGACATTTTATTGATGTAATTCATTCTATTAAACAATTTCAAAACAAGAATCTTGGCATTAATTTCATTTTCTTGATATCGCATGATTTGAAGAAGTCAAATAGACAAAACATTTTAAACAACTTTTCCTGTTTATATGCACTAAAGTCCATGATTCAATGATTAATAGGTTTTATTTAATTGAGTCACAAATAATATGAATAAAAAAATGCAGTAAAGCTCCCATTAGGACTGTTTTGAAAACACACACACAGAATAGAAAGAAAAATCTGATTTTCTTTTCACTTACGCTATAAATTAAGTTGGTTTATGCCATAAGCAGGGACAGTCAGCTCAACTTCACTCAAATAAGTGAATGAAAAAGCCATGTTTGAATAAAGTCTCACTGTACCGCTTTAGCCATGTTTAAATCTAATTATCCAGATACAAAATGTCTGTGTTTTCTGCTCCTTTAATGCACTAATTCTTCCTCATTGGAGTGATACTCTTTGTCCTGCCAGTTTTGGTCTCTGGAGCCACCATCCGCAGCCCAGCAGCCATCTTGATCGAAGACAAAAGCTCCACCAACCTGACCTGCGAGGCCTCAGGCTCCGTGAGCACCAGAGAGTGGATGAAGGACGGCTGGCCTCTCCTTCAGAGTGACCGAGTCCGTCTCTCCTTAGACAACAGGACGGTGTTCATACAACCTGTTCACAGCTCCAACCATGGCACCTACCAGTGTCGAGTCAGCAACCCTGTCAGCACCATGACCGTGGCTTATAACCTCACTGTTAACTGTCAGTACTCCTACCTGAAGTATTTAGAAATAATCTCTCACATTTCTCTAATTATTAAAGGCATTACGGTCTGAACTCTTAAATTCTTATATGTCATTCATGTAGTTGGACCTCATAACATTTCAATATCCGGGCCGTCAGCAGCAGCCCCGGGCCACAGAGTGGCTCTACAGTGCACGGCAGACTCTGTCCCGCCAGCAAACTTCAGGTGGACGTTCAACGGCAACGAGACTCATGTTAAAGACTCTGCTTACATCATAGAGAGGCTGGAGGAAGACAGCATCGGGAATTACACCTGCACTGCCAGAAACATGGTGACCATGCTGGAAAACTCCACAAATCTGTACCTGAGAGGTGAGAGTTGTTCACTAAATATGTACATTGTTTTTGTTTGTGTGTTGAGTGGTGGTGGGGCTATCATATATTTTAAAGAAACGTTGCCTTTTAAGTATTAATATCTCCTTTGTTTCTTGAAGCATCCTGCACTGCCCCCTGCTGGTCCTTTTCAGTGCTGCTGATCTGCTCGCTGGCCCTGAGAGGGTTAATGTGAGAGAAAGTAGCAGGTGAGAGAAACGATTGACTAGATATCTGCCATATTGTTCATGTTTCACTTAACTATTAAGAATTGTTTTTTATATTCTTTTTTTCTTTCAGAGTCCAGCCTCCCTGATAATTTTGCTTTGACTGAGGACCATGAATTTAATCAACCAAAATGTGCTCTAGAAGCAATTTAATTGTGACCCCAGGGACTTTGATACTTCAGCTTGACAATAATAAGACAAAGTAGAAAGTCTCACACAGGACTAACCAATAATCAAACCTGTTAATGATATAAACTTTTGGAAATCTATGTCAGAAATGTCACAAAGAGAATAAAAGTGACATCACGAGTCACTAAAAATTGCATTCTAATTGTATTGCTCAGGAAATATCATACAGCTGGATAATCGACTTTTAATGTGAGTTATATATGCATGTATTTGTATGAAAGAGTGACAATAAACATATATGTTTTAACATTTATTTAAAGAATGAAAGCACCTTTATTATCTTTTCCACAGTCAGACACTAGCTCCTGTTTTTGACCGAAGGACACAGAGGTGAAGCTTGTTCTGTCCCTGTACTGTAGATGTAGGTCCACCACCCCCACCACCCCCAATTATCTCTTATTGAAACCCAGAGACTCAGATCTGAGTTTTGAACCAGAATTTATTTTCTCTGTGTTTACGTACAGCACTTGTTCCCTTCTGCTTGAAAGTGTCAGTAGTATTCATCAGAGTTTAGATCAAATTGTATGAGGATGTTGATACACAGGAATGGTTGTTGGTTTTTTACCCCCCCTGCATATAAAATTGTATTATATATCAGTATATCATGAATAATAAAAAAACAATCTATGAACTTTTTTTCTTAGCCCAGAAATGAATGATGATCTCTCTAAAGAGACGACCGAATCTGTCCTGTTTACAGCACAAAAGAAATGTAGGCATTTGATGAAGTGTTTG